TGATACTGTGATACATCTCACGAGACATCAAGCTGACACTGTGACATATCTCACTTGACATCAAGCTGACACTGTGATATATCTCACTATACATCAAGCTGATACTGTGATACATCTCACTATACATCAAGCTGATACTGTGATACATCTCACTTGACATCAAGCTGACACTGTGATATATCTCACTATACATCAAGCTGATACTGTGATACATCTCACTATACATCAAGCTGATACTGTGATACATCTCACTATACATCAAGCTGACACTGTGATACATCTCACTTGACATCAAGCTGATACTGTGATACGTCTCACTATACATCAAGCTGACACTGTGATACATCTCACTATACATCAAGATGACACTGTGATACATCTCACTATACATCAAGCTGATACTGTGATTTATCTCACTATACATCGAGCTGACACTGTGATACATCTCACTATACATCAAGCTGACACTGTGATACATCACACTTGACATCAAGCTGATACTGTGATACATCTCACTATACATCGAGCTGATACTGTGATACATCTTACTATACATCAAGCTGACACTGTGATACATCTCACTTGACATCAAGCTGATACTGTGATACATCTCACTATACATCAAGCTGACACTGTGATACATCTCACTATACATCAAGATGACACTGTGATACATCTCACTATACATCGAGCTGACACTGTGATACATCTCACTATACATCAAGATGACACTGTGATACATCTCACTATACATCGAGCTGATACTGTGATACATCTCACTATACATCAAGATGACACTGTGATACATCTCACTATACATCAAGCTGACACTGTGATACATCTCACTATACATCGAGCTGATACTGTGATACATCTCACTATACATCAAGATGACACTGTGATACATCTCACTATACATCGAGCTGATACTGTGATACATCTCACTATACATCAAGCTGATACTGTGATACATCTCACTATACATCGAGCTGATACTGTGATACATCTCACTATACATCAAGAAGACACTGTGATACATCTCACTATACATCAAGCTGACACTGTGATACATCTCACTATACATCAAGCTGATACTGTGATACATCTCACTATACATCAAGCTGACACTGTGATACATCTCACTATACATCAAGATGACACTGTGATACATCTCACTATACATCGAGCTGATACTGTCATACATCTCACTTGACATCAAGCTGACACTGTGATACATCTCACTATAAATCGAGCTGATACTGTGATACATCTCACTATACATCAAGCTGACACTGTGATACATCTCAATTGACATCAAGCTGACACTGTGATACATCTCACTATAAATCGAGCTGATACTGTGATACATCTCACTATACATCAAGCTGACACTGTGATACATCTCACTTGACATCAAGCTGACTTTGTGACATATCTCACTATACATCAAGCTGACACTGTGATATATCTCACTATACATCAAGCTGACTTTGTGACATATCTCACTATACATCAAGCTGACTTTGTGACATATCTCACTATACATCAAGCTGAGACTGTGATATATCTCACTATATATCAAGCTGACTGTGTGACATATCTCACTATACATCAAGCTGATACTGTGATATATCTCACTATACATCAAGATGACACTGTGATATATCTCACTATACATCGAGCTGACACTGTGATACATCTCACTATATATCAAGCTGACTGTGTGATATATCTCACTATACATCAAGATGACACTGTGATATATCTCCCTTGACATCAAGCTGACACTGTGATACATCTCACTATATATCAAGCTGACTGTGTGATATATCTCACTATACATCAAGATGACACTGTGATACATCTCACTATACATCAAGCTGACTTTGTGACATATCTCACTATACATCAAGCTGACTTTGTGACATATCTCACTATACATCAAGCTGAGACTGTGATATATCTCACTATATATCAAGCTGACTGTGTGACATATCTCACTATACATCAAGCTGATACTGTGATATATCTCACTATACATCAAGATGACACTGTGATATATCTCACTATACATCGAGCTGACACTGTGATACATCTCACTATATATCAAGCTGACTGTGTGATACATCTCACTATATATCAAGCTGATACTGTGATACATCTCACTTGACATCAAGCTGACACTGTGATACATCTCACTTGACATCAAGCTGACTTTGTGACATATCTCACTATACATCAAGCTGACACTGTGATATATCTCACTATACATCAAGCTGACTTTGTGACATATCTCACTATACATCAAGCTGACTTTGTGACATATCTCACTATACATCAAGCTGAGACTGTGATATATCTCACTATATATCAAGCTGACTGTGTGACATATCTCACTATACATCAAGCTGATACTGTGATATATCTCACTATACATCAAGATGACACTGTGATATATCTCACTATACATCGAGCTGACACTGTGATACATCTCACTATATATCAAGCTGACTGTGTGATACATCTCACTATATATCAAGCTGACTGTGTGATATATCTCACTATACATCAAGCTGACACTGTGATACATCTCACTATACATCGAGCTGACACTGTGATACATCTCACTATACATCGAGCTGACACTGTGACATATCTCACTTGACATCAAGATGACACTGTGATACATCTCACTTGACATCAAGCTGACACTGTGATACATCTCACTATACATCGAGCTGACACTGTGATACATCTCACTATACATCAAGCTGACTTTGTGACATATCTCACGAGACATCAAGCTGACACTGTGATACATCTCACTATACATCGAGCTGACACTGTGATACATCTCACTATACATCAAGCTGACACTGTGATATATCTCACTATACATCAAGCTGGCACTGTGATATATCTCACTATACATCAAGCTGACACTGTGATATATCTCACTATACATCAAGCAAACACTCCGTGACATATCTCACTATACATCAAGCTGATACTGTGATACATCTCACTATAATTCGAGCTGATACTGTGATACATCTCACTTGACATCAAGCTGACACTGTGAGACATCTCACTATAAATCGAGCGGATACTGTGATACATCTCACTATACATCAAGCTGACACTGTGATATATCTCACTATACATCAAGCTGACACTGTGATATATCTCACTATACATCAAGCTGACACTGTGATATATCTCACTATACATCAAGCTGACTTTGTGACATATCTCACTATACATCAAGCTGACACTGTGATATATCTCACTTGACATCAAGCTGACACTGTGATATATCTCACTATATATCAAGCTGACTGTGTGACATATCTCACTTGACATCAAGATGACTCTGTGATACATCTCACTATACATCAAGCTGACACTGTGATACATCTCACTATACATCGAGCTGACACTGTGATACATCTCACTATACATCGAGTTGACACTGTGAAATATCTCACTTGACATCAAGATGACACTGTGATACATCTCACTTGACATCAAGCTGACACTGTGATACATCTCACTATACATCGAACTGACACTGTGATACATCTCACTATACATCAAGCTGACACTGTGATATATCTCACTTTACATCAAGCTGACACTGTGACATATCTCACTTGACATCAAGCTGACACTGTGATATATCTCACTATACATCAAGCTGACACTGTGATATATCTCACTATACATCAAGCTGATACTGTGATACATCTCACTATACATCAAGCTGACACTGTGACATATCTCACTTGACATCAAGCTGATACTGTGATACATCTCACTTTACATCAAGCTGACACTGTGATACATCTCACTATACATCAAGCTGACACTGTGATATATCTCACTTGACATCAAGCTGACGCTGTGACATATCTCACTTGACATCAAGCTGACACTGTGATACATCTCACTATACATCAAGCTGACACTGTGATATATCTCACTTTACATCAAGCTGACACTGTGACATATCTCACTTGACATCAAGCTGACACTGTGATATATCTCACTATACATCAAGCTGACACTGTGATATATCTCACTATACATCAAGCTGATACCGTGATACATCTCACTTGACATCAAGATGACACTGTGATACATCTCACTATACATCAAGCTGACACTGTGATACATCTCACTATACATCGAGCTGACACTGTGATACATCTCACTATACATCGAGCTGACACTGTGACATATCTCACTTGACATCAAGATGACACTGTGATATATCTCACTTGACATCAAGCTGACACTGTGATATATCTCACTAAACATCAAGCTGACACTGTGATACATCTCACTATAAATCGAGCTGATACTGTGATATATCTCACTATACATCAAGCTGACACTGTGATATATCTCACTATACATCAAGCTGACTTTGTGACATATCTCACTATACATCAAGCTGACACTGTGATACATCTCACTATACATCAAGCTGACACTGTGACATATCTCACGAGACATCAAGCTGACACTGTGATATATCTCACTATACATCAAACTGACTTTGTGACATATCTCACTTGACATCAAGCTGACTTTGTGACATATCTCACTTGACATCAAGCTGACTTTGTGACATATCTCACTATACATCAAGCTGACACTGTGATATATCTCACTATACATCGAGCTGACACTGTGATACATCTCACTATACATCAAGCTGACACTGTGGCATATCTCGCGAGACATCAAGCTGACTTTGTGACATATCTCACTGTACATCAAGCTGACTTTGTGACATATCTCACTATACATCAAGCTGACTTTGTGACATATCTCACGAGACATCAAGCCGACTTTGTGACATATCTCACTATACATCAAGCTGACACTGTGATATATCTCACTATACATCGAGCTGACACTGTGATATATCTCACTATACATCAAGCTGACACTGTGATATATCTCACTATACATCAAGCTGACACTGTGATATATCTCACTATACATCGAGCTGACACTGTGATATATCTCACTATACATCAAGCTGACACTGTGACATATCTCACGAGACATCAAGCTGACACTGTGACATATCTCACTATAAATCAAGCTGACACTGTAACATATCTCACGAGACATCAAGATGACACTGTGGTACATCTCACTGTACATCAAGCAAACACTCCGTGACATTTGTAATAGTCGTAGAGATATGACCACGCCCATTCCATCAGACTGGTTCACAGTTCCTTACATCAACAGCACAGAGAAGCCATTATCTTCTTCCCCTTGAAACTCTAAACTGACCACTCGATGACTACCTCCAACTGATGCTGGTGTTTCCAGCCACTGCCTCAGTTGGTCTTCTCCTTGTCTCTGTTGTACGCTGAGCTGAAGCACGTGTCGAGGATGTTGAGGACGCACACCACGAAGAAGAAGCCGTACACGCAGATCAGCCGCATCCTCTCCGTGACGTCACGTGGCCCCGCCACCTTGTACAAGGTAAAGTCGTGCAGCCACGTGGTGAAGATGATGGCGAGGACAGACGTTGCAGTGTGGACGCTGTACATCAACGACGGTAGCCGTATCCAGGGGCAACGCCGCACACCTGTGTGAGTGTGTAAGTGAGTTAATGAATGCGGATGAGCTATAATATAAACCTTTATGTGGCGGTCTGTTTCTCTGTCTCTTCTCTAGTATACTTATCATACTTATTAGTTAAATATTATTCATTATATATTATAAAATAATTACTCAATTATTAATGCGAAAAGATACCATCAACCTATAAACCACATTGTCTCACCCAATTTGTAAAATCATTTGGAGGGTCTAATTTATAAATTTCTTCGTAAATGGAACGGATATTGTCTTATCACATCTATTTTTCACATTCTGGTAACCGAATGCAAGGCGTGACGCGTGCTTGTTTGGATAAAGGTTACATTGTTTAGGATGCCATCTGAAGAATACTCAATACATTGAGAAGTGAGGTGAAATGGGGATTAACGTCGCGTCCTAGTTATTGCACTTATATAGCGACGTGCATGCACGTGTGTGTGGCTGCTTCTTCTAGTCCAGACTGATGCCGATTAATAGTGCTAGCTCACTGAGATACCATGTTGTAGTTTAACATGAATACCCCACTCAGACACAGCATACTGACTCCGAGCCGACCAGTCCTTGTTTTAGACCCTTAATGCCGAACGCTATACAGGGTAACAACAAGGACCATCTTTTAATATCTTATGACGATCCGGGTATGACGCGGCCGGGGATCGAGCGGACGCTCTACCACTCGACCACGGAGGCGGTCTAATCAATACATAATTTATTATAAATCAATAGTTGCACAATCGATAACTGACTTGTGATGGGGAGGAATTACGACACAGTTACATCATGAGATTAACATCGAGACTTACCATAGAAATACGCATATGCTGCAATGAAGAAAAAGGGTAATTCTAGGGAGAACTCAACCGCACACGTGGCCATAAACCAAGGGAAAGAACTCGGGTCCGCCAAGAAGGGATCACGGAAATCTTCGAGGTAGGAAACCCACATATTTTTCAACTGGAAAGCAGGAAAGATTGATAAACAACATATATGAGATAAAAAATACCCTCATTTCAATTTAGTGAGTGATTGAGTGAGTATGCTTTTAGGCGGCTTTTAGCAATGTTCTAGCAATATCATGGCGGGGGACACCAGATATGGGCTTCACACACTGTACCCAAGTGGGCAATCGATCCCGGGTCTTCGATGTGACGAGCCTGGTGGTTTTAAATAACCCCCAGACTACCCCGCCGCCCTTTTTTCATTTCAATGGTATTAAATAGTTTGCATATTTCGAAAAGTAGAACCAAAACATTTAAGCGGACATTTTCCACCTGTGTTTGGTAGGGTTTTGGTCTGGTGACAGGGCTGGCAACTCCATGCGATCACTGGGCTCCAGCTCTACGTAGGCAGCAACGACCCTGGCGTGATGAGGTCGTGCACAATGGACGCTGAGTATGAATACACCAACAGGAGGGACTACTTTTATCTGTCACACACCACACACACACGCTCTCTCTCTCTTCCCCCAAGCCACTTGCAAACCTCTAGGACCATGCAACCCCCTCCAGAGTCCCCCCCCCCCTCTCAGTACTCACCCACTGCGGGTAGACCCAGGGCGGGAACAGCGCCTGTGAGTTGAACAACACGGTGGTGGGGATGTGGAAACCGAAGTAGCCACAGAAGACCACGTCCAGTACCAGCCTGAGACCCATGCCGACTGACGCGTATTGGGGGCGACTCGCTTCCTCGCCCAAGTAGGGGAAACTGGGCCAGTGATGGCGGATGTCGTGGATGAGTGCACGGCCCTGACTGTACCAGGATGTAGTTCACATCTCACGCCTGCCCTCAAGTACGTGTGTCTATGTAGTTCAGTTGAAAATATTATGTTATATGATGATGTCTGGTGGTGGATTTTGTCGTGGTTTAATTTAGTACTCCCAAAATTACTGAGTACCCCCCTAACACACACACACACACACACACACACACACACACACACACACACACACACACACACACACACACACACACACACACACCATACAGCACATCATATCATGGTGAACGTACGGTTTCTTTTCTAAACATCAACTGTGTCATCATATGTGGTTGTCTTATAGTTTCTGTAAACTAAGTAAGGCCATTTTTGATTAGTTGAGTAGTGAACATGCTTTTCATGCTACATACATAACCCTAACCCTAACCCTAACCCTAACTCTAACCCTAAGCCTAACTCTAACCCTAACCCTAACCCTAACCCTAACCCTAACTCTGTGACATCAGGAGGGGGGGCATCTTTGCTTTGCAGGGGAAGTTGTGGGAAACAATAGGTTCTGGTCAGTTAAGTTTGTTTTAGAAAAGCTGTTTTATAATAAATAAAAAATATTAATAAAATTGTTGTAATGATACTTTAATCGTTCATAACAGAACTTTGACTATTTCATGTGTGTAGTAGGGAACAGAACAACTGATGATACCGAATAACGTTGGACGGTTCTGTATGTGCAGCTGCTTTTTGTACTATTTGGTGTGTTTAATATACTGTAGGTTTTATGTACTGGCAGTGGGTGACCAGGTAAATACCTGCTCGTGAGACCACGTGGTTCAGCCGATAGCTTGTAATCATAAATGAATAGATGTCAGTCATTAAATTCATAATATGGTAAAGTTCAGTATAGAAACACATTGTGCTAATATTTCTATTGTAATGTACCAGTTACTTGCTCTTCAATTTCTGTTAATGTTTTGCATCTTTTAATGTATTTGTGATATTTTATGTTGTATGTTCTATACAAGTGTAAACAATATAACCGCAATCCATTATTTGCAAGCGACTATGATCGTAGATATATCTGTGAAGGTCAGTTACAGCTGGTTTACTGATTGTTACATAGGGTGGACATACATTCGAATCCATATGCATTCATTGTGAGAATATTGATAAAGAGGTCTGTATATGTCCGTAAATAAGTGGTTAGACGATTATCAGGTTCATAATATGTACAGTAAGAACATTTACATATGTATATACTCTCCAATAAATGAGACGCAAAAGTAGTATGAACTGTGATTGATTTGTGTGGAAAGAATGACGTGCTGCAGACACTTGGTGAAAAGATGGAAAAATCGCAAAAACACAACCACGTGAGAACCTGGCGCCGAAACACACCAACATGACATGAACGTGCAAGATCATTTGTTGGGCTATTAAAACGTTGAGTTTTCACTTGCTGCCATCACACTCTTACAGCATGTGAACAGCGAAAACTTACCACGACTGACACGCGGCCTTCGTCAAGGAGATCCCTTATCACCGTATTTTTTACATTTTGCGTTGAACTTTGGGGTATACTGATCTGAAAAATGAAAACATTAGGGTATAAATCTTGATAATATTCAATTTTTGTCACAATTCGCTGATGATACACATTAACACTAGATGGTACAGAAAATGTCTCTCTGCTGTGGTTTATGTTGTGCGTGCTGTGTTTAATGTTCTGCAGTTTTTCGCGCGTTTTTCTGGGTTAAGAATTAATATGGAGAAGACCAAAATAATTAGGATTGGCTCAAAAAGATCAAAACACAAACTATGTAAAGAGTGAAAAGTACAAACAGAATTTAAACTGTTAGGGATACTTTTCGATATCGACCTACAATATATGGTGCAAAGGAAAACTGCGACGACAAAATAAATATGATACAAAAAAGAAACGAATGCCTGGCAGGTTCGAACACTCACGCCTATTGGAGAAATACGGTATTGAAATCCCTATTGTTAATTAAATTAAACCACGTCCTCTCGGTATTGCCGCACCCATCAACTGAATCCACTGAATATCTACAAACATTATGCCTTTTTTATTTGGAATGGTAAACCGGACAAAGTAAGACGAGATATAATGACCTGTATCCCAAAACACAGGGGAGTTACGGTATCAAAAATTAAAAACTATCGCTGCCCAAAACGTTAGATGGATTAGTTGGTTAATATTTAATAATCAAGAGTAGGCTGTTCTTTTTATTTTAAACATCCAGTGGCGGCATCCAATTGTTCCCCAGTCGGGTTACATCTCATAAACAAGGATTTTATTAATATAACTTCCGTTAATATTGTAATATATGAATGTTTTTCATACCTCCATGAACCAAAAAAAATATACAGTCAATGCTTATAATTAAATTCGACAACGTAAAACATGTTTTATCTACAATAGTTTAACCCCAAACAGTTCAAAACATATATCAAAACAGACAAAAATGACGACATTGATAAACATTCAAGGTGTAGGAATACATACAGTGGCGTGACATGAATCAGGTGATCGTTTAATTTATGCACATAACTTGACACGCCTACACAGTCAGTAGCCAATCAACGGAGGGTGGGATTAAAACAATGTTCATTGGACCCGTCAATTAAGGCAAGAGGCGAAAAGAACTGCAACAGTCAGACTGTAACGAACCGGAAGAAATATGTCCGAGAGAAGGCGGCTGTTTCAAATAACATGGTCATTTACTGCGTGATTCAAACATTACTTCCCTGATAACGGTAAAACACAGTTGGAGAAATGCTAGTTAGAAATGAAACCCGAAGACATGAAAGTTGAACCGAGGCGAGCGGGAAAAAAGACAGGCGAGCGAGCCTGCACGTTTGCTGTTTCATTCATTCTCGGCCTTCGGTTTCAAAGAGTAGTTTGGACAATGAATATGCACGAAAGTCGTTAAATGTCCTGTGCATGACGATACATGTGAGCAGAAAGGGAAATCCCTCGACTGTAATATTGGGTTTCCCCGACATTCCGCGCAGTAATAAAAGTAGTGCGCCGCGGTGGGCGTGGCCTAATTTTTTACATTCATTGGGAAATGAATGCAATAACACGTGACCAATTCAGCTAATCAGACTGCAGGAATTGCCATGAACACAACGAAAATTTAATTATTTGTGATTTAATGCGTAGCTATCATATATAATGATATAAAAATAGGAGAGAAATCGGTTACATGTAACCATTGGTATGAAAAAATACTTATCTCTGTTAACGATTTGATAAATGAAAAAGTTTTTTCCCCTATACTTTACAAGAATTAATGAACACATTTTGTTAGATACACATTTTCTGATACATGAATGCATTAAGAAAGCTATTGATGAATTAAAATGCTTAACTTTAGACATTATAGTGAGTGAGTGAGTTTGGTTTTACGCCGCTTTTAGCAATATTCCAGCAATATCACGGCGGGAGACACCAGAAATGGGCTTCACACATTGTACCCATGTCGGGAATCGATCCCGGGTCTTCAGCGTGACGGGCTAACGCTTTAACCACAAGGCTACCCGACCGCCCCTTTAGACATTATAAAGGAACGCTTGCCAATCCTATATTTCCTTACGTACTATTTGTTTTTAAAAAAAGAGGTACGGGTAAATACTACAAAATTCTCAAAAATAACTCAAGTTTTACTAGACTACCTTATCGGAAAGAATTGAAGATATGCCCCTTAAACATGTTAGAGATAACGAGGGGGGAATTTTCAATTTTATACCATATAAATATACACTGAGTTCAGATTTGATTTGGATACAATATAGCATTTGGCACAATATATTGCCAACACGAAATTGTCTTTACATGATAAGATATATTGACTCACCCAAGTAAACATTCACTTAAAACTATAGAAAACCTGTTTTGGGACTGTTATGATTTTGCTGCTAGTGTTCTTAGTGCTGTAAAGGTAGTGTAACCATGCTGTTAATGGTATGAGTTTTCTAAAATACTGTTGGAAATACTAGAAAAAAGCTTTTCTCCTAAATACAAGATAGAATGTTTCACAGACAGTTACTATGAAATATCGAGTAACCATCTATCTACCTACCTGCGGTTTGAAATATTTCAGTCAAAAGGAGTCATATCGACAAGTTTACAGGAGGTGAGGTGAGGTGAAATTGGGTTTAACGTCGCGTCCAAGATTATTGCACTTATATAGCGACGTGCATGCACGTGTATGTGTGTGTGTGTGGCTGCTTGTACTAGTCCGGACTGATGCCGATTTATAGTGCTTGCTCACTGAGATACCATGCCGCAGTTTAACATGAATACCCCACTCAGACACAGTATACTGACTCCGAGCCGACCAGTCCTTGTTTTAGCCCCTTAATGCCGAGCGCCAGACAGGGTAACAACAAGTACAATCTTTTAACGTCTTTTTGTATGACGCGGCCCGGGATCGAACCCTGGACCTTCCGCTCTCCGGGCGGACGCTCTACCATAAGACCACGGAGGCGGTCAAGTTTACAGGAGAAACATTTGAACGAAAACAGGAAGTTCAGATTAAAAGTCCAATTTGCAAACTCTGAAACGGACAATAGAAATATGCGCTCCGTTATAATAATAAAGAGAATAATGTCCTCATAAAACATCTGATCCATGAATACACAAAAGTCAATTGGAGAATTTAAGATGTGCATGTTAGAAAATAACAAAACGACGCTGCATTTGTTTTGTCAACACTGCTCCCATGATGCATGCTGCCTTCCCTGTGCAAAGTCCGTAGTCCGCAGTAGGAAACGTATACAGGATCTTTACACTTGTGAAAGATGGAGGGAATCCATTTATTTCTTTAGATAGGGTGTATTACCGAGCTGCCCAAGATGTCATGTGTGCTTAATAAAACAAAGAAGGTAGGGGTCGTCTCAAAAACAAACCAGGACAGTGAAAGGACATTCGATAGCTTTGATA